TTAACAATACACTGCTACGTGGTTTGCCTCTTGAAACTGTGCCTAATTATTCCATACTGGAAAGGGCACATTAAATTACATATTATTTGAAAAACTGTTATTGTATAACATGATCATTACTACTTAGCTGTATCACCTCACCCTAGGAGGGCGTAGTGAGAGAGTGTAGCACCTGCCCACCATTGGGGACAAGTCAAAGTAAAATGATAAACCATGTATTTCCTCGTTGCTTTATATGTACTAGGAGTCTTACACTGGAACTACAGGAGACAGACACAGATTAAGACTGGATTTCAGCTGTAGGGCTCATTACACCTAGGGGACACCTAGTTCTAGTTCCACACACCTATCCCTCCCCCCAAAAAAAAAAGAGAGTGGGGGAGAGAGAATGTTTTTAATGGGAAAAATAGTCTAGTAATTCCTCAAAGAGGATATCATACATCTCAACCTACAAATTGGCTGCTGGACGCAATTAATTTTGGGTGCACTGAAGCCTTCAAGAAGTTCTGCTGAGGAGTTCCCTTGCGTATCTTCCATTCTCACCTAGGAGGTCTGTGCAAGAGATCTTCCTGCTAGATTGTGCCTTCCCATGTTTAACTGAACAGGAATGTGCAGTGCTAAGGATTACAACATATGCACAATGGGGTGGCTCCAAAGTATTCAGCTGTAACTAACCCGCATTACGTGGCTTTGTAAACACACCCTAAAGTTCCACTGTATTCTGACTTAGATCTTCCCTTCCAAATTTGTTAATGGATTTGGTTTTGTATTTAATAGACAGCAAGAACGAACACATTTATTTGCCTTTGCAACCTCATTATTTTCTTTGCATGCAATTATTTCCTTGCCAAACAATACTGGTGACAAATTGCAATCGACTACTCCAGCAGATTTTTAACCCAAGGTAAAAATAAACAGAAACATCTGTAAAGCAATCTTGTACAAAGCTACGTTTATTAACAAATACATTTTTCTAATAAAACACCATCTGCAAGTAACCCTCAGCTTCCACTTGATATAAATAGGCCTTTTTACGGTTTTCAGATGCTGTTCCCAGAAAATTATTCCAAGCCTTCCTGCAAAACACATCAGTCTTTGTTGCCCTCTGGAATGTTAATAAATAATGGCAAGGGAATTTTCCCCCCCTTTAAAGCAGTCAAACAAATTATTGGCTCAAAACAATTATTTCAACAGGGGGGAAGAAAAGCTGACCTTTGGCAATAAAGAACCCTAAGAACACATTGGCGCTTATAAAAACCATGACCAGCCATGAAATAGATATTTAGGAAAGAACTATAGAAAAAACATGTTATTTCTATCTGCTTTTGCGATATGCACCAGATACGTACCACCATGCTGAGAACCTCTTAAAAGGAAAATAACTGCAAAATACACAGTGCTTATTCCCTACATATTAATTTTCGATAGCTGCTAATCTTCAGACCATGTATCCACAATTATGACATGCTACGTAAAGTCAAATTCTCAGCCTAAGGAGCCCACCTTTTCAAGGAAAACCTAATTATGTGGCCTGAATAAATTATTAGCATTGTGATTCAATTTAAGAAGTCTCAGGTGATTGACTGTAAGAGTGGTAATCAATTAACTGGCTCAATCTGCATAAATTAGCATATGTAGAGAGCAAAATAATTCAATTGTTTTGAAGGGGGAAAACAGTTCCTGTTTTGTTTTTAGAAGATGCAGGTGTCAGAGCAGGAGCTATTTCAGAAGAGGCATTCTCTCCAATGTGAAAGAGATGCCTCTTCTAATATGGTGCTTCCAATCTACATATTTAAAAGTGTTCATGTTAAATATAAGCACTTTTTTGAAAATTCCTCCAACTGATTCATCAGAAGTGCCTATTTAATAGATGCAGTCCTATGAAATAGCATAGATCCATATGTTTAATTTGCACTGTCTTTTTGATAGCCCTTTGGGAAGGATAAGGCTGGACACTACTTCCTAGCAGGAGTCTTCCCCGGGCAACAGACTTACCCACCCAATCCCAGTTCAATCTCTATATGAGTTCTTTCTTAAAGAACTGCCCTCTTTTTTAAAGCCAATATCTACATCCATTGAGAACTAGAAACCTGCTTTTGAAAACTCAGAAAATGGGATCTTTTAGTGTCTCCCAAATTTCTGATAGTTTAAGGCATATTTTTGTCTGAATTAACGCTGGAACCATCCATCCTTCCCTTTACATGGTTTACTTGTGGAATGTATAGAAGTATGAACTATGTGCATCTAAAGGAGCTCCCCTCCATTCTGTATGAGTCGCTATTCTTAACATGCAGCTAGTCTAGTTGCTATTCTAGACAGGTGACTGTTATGCCCATATATACGGAACAATTGACCCATGCAGTCAGAATCGATGCAGAGACATAACAGAAACTCCCAGCAAAGAGTAGTTCAAATGAGGCAAGGGCCAGACTGGAGAATCCTGCAGAAATGCAGCAAGAAGCCTCCTCTACTGGTGAGGAACTTTGGATTCAATCAATCAATTTCTTGTGGCCCACCAGCAGTTCCCCTGTGGCCCACTGGTGTGCTCTGGCACAAGCAACAAATCAAGAAGATATATTCATTTCATGCAGCCTATATTCCCCACGAAGCTTTTCTCAGTGGTAAATGCTGCTGAATTCAAAGGAAACTGCTTCCAGGTAATATACACAGCACTGTAGCCTTAATTCTGCATTCTTGTGAAATGCCTATAGATGCACAGAACGCATACAGCTAGGCTGGTGTTGGATAAAATCCATTACAGATTAGAATAACTGGAGATTGTGGGTGGTGCTATACAGTTCTTCAAGACAAAACAAGCACCGTATAAAAATACCTGCCCATTCTGTCAACATTCCCAATACCACCCTTGTAGTGCCATTTCTTTAAATAGTTGGACAACCAAAACTCAAACAACATCTAACCTTCTTCAATCACAAACTGAAACATATTGATCGCAGGTCTGTTCTTAAGGTTGGGAACCAGGATAGTCAGTGAGGCTCAACAGGATCTGAGTCCAATTCTTTTTAAAGCAACACAAAACAAATCAATGAGAACTAAACAACAAGCTAAACATGTACACCCTTTTAGTCATTTGCAACAAGCAATAAGCCAGTTTCAAGCTATCGGCAATTTTAACATAGATCAGTCCTGCAGCACACGTTGTTGAACTTTGCTGAAGATACATTGCTATGCACTGCAGTGTTTCCATAATCTCTTCCGGTTTCTGTAGTCCAAAGAAGCAACAGATCCAGCCAGCTTTTTCATTCCACCTCACCCAATTCTCTGCCCTGCTACAGACCCCATCCCACATGGATTTAGTATAAGCAGGTTCCCTGGTACCCTGGCACAGCCTTTTTTGTGTGTGGTCAAACAAGAGACACTCATCCTTTCTTTTTCATGAATACAAAACACTGGTTGGATCTAACTCCATTTTTCAAAACACCGGGTGGGCTGCCACATGCAAACAGTCTTCATTTGGTTTGGTAGATCACAATTTGTATAGAGCAGGTGTCGATCCTTCCTACTTCCCCTCTTGAGAAGAGTGCAAAAGTTTTGTTGTTTTTTTAAAAAATCATAGCAACCATAAACCATGTAGATATAATTAAAAGAGATCAACTTCCTGGAGCCCAAAACTCTGGTAGTTGAAATTAGCAGTCCAGTCATAAATGCATTTTCTCAAATGTAATTTCTATGGTTTTAGTAGACCTTACTTCCACGTTGTTAAGTTTACAATTGCCAACAATGACAAAACAGCTTTATAGCAAGCCAGCATTTAATTTATTTTAAATATTTGATTTACCGGTTTAATTTATTTAAATAATTTTTCAAAGTATTTACTTTTTGCAACTGAAAATAAGGTAGGGGGGACCTCAGGTCCATTCAACAAAATTAGAATGTAACCACTATTGTATTAAATTAATTACTTGCAGCCTAGCAAAACTGATCTGGGCAGACAGACCAGATTACCCTTTGCCAACTATGGAAAGACAGGATTACCTTTTGTCTACTATGGAAAGTAAAAACACAGCTTTGTCATTTCTTTTCTGGAAAAAGAGAAAGATTCCTGGGCACACACTAGCTACAAACCAGTGGAGAGTTTCTCATAATAAAACCCAATGATAATGCTATTGAACATTGGTGCTTCCCCCATACCCCCAAATTTAGAAGCCAGTGAAATTTTTTAGAAGCCAGATGGAAGCGTGAGAGTGTGAGTATTCTAATGAATAGAAGGATTCTGTTCTTGTTGGTGTGCTCAGGTCTGTTCTCCTCCCTGCTAAATACAGCTTCATTGAGAGGTAATGATGGTCAGGCAGGGAAAAATCTGACGCAGGGGAAAAGGCGCTTGAAGGCGCGGCTTTTAAAAGCCGCGCCAATGTTGACACGGTGCGGCGGGATCCCACGGATCCCCCGGCCGCGCCGCCTTTTCTCCCCGGCGCGATCAAACGCCAGCTTGCCGCGCCACGTCCTCTTGAACCACCCAAGGTAGGTGGTTCATTTTGCGGCGGTTCTTCCCGGGTTTGGGCCAGTTCGGGTGCGGAAGCAGGACGCTTCCCAGATGTGGTGGTGTAATCGCGCCGGTTTGATCCGGCCCCGAACTGGCCCGCTCCCGGACCAAATCGCCGCGTGTGAACGGGACCCTAGTATACTTTCCTCCAATGAGTGGATGCCAACTGTGATTATTCAGTTGAGTAAGGGAATTAGAAGAAGTGGCAGCCAGGTTCTACCAGCAACATTATAGATGGCAGAAGGATAAACCTGCTTCCTGACCTCTTCCTCAACTCTGGGTCCAAGACCCATACCCAATTGTTAAGGTGTATATGGTTATGGGGTGCCTGGATTTTTGTGCCCCTACCAATCTCTGCCTGAAATTGTGGCCATTTGCTTCTGGCTTGCGGTCTGAAGAAAAAGCAACAATTATAATTGGACTAAGAGAGTGGCAGTATAATCAGAAATCAAAGAAGAGCTAGACACTGAAATATGGTAGGGAAAACCAGACTTACTTCACTAGCTTGAGGGATTGTAAGCTTTGGTAGTTTATTCTTTGAGCCCGGTCCAGTAGACTTTCCTTCCAGCAGTGATCCGAAGGGTTGGTTTCCATACACACCTTCAATTTCTACTGGTGGCTTCAGTTCTGGTGAGTCATTGGGAACTTGGTCCTGGCCATCCATTGGCCTAACGTAAGCAGTAGGCTTTTGCTGCGTCATGCTACTCTTACAATGAAGGCTTGGAGGAAAGTTCTGAGTTGAAAGACTGCCGTTTGCAGACAACAAAGAGGTGGAAGGGAGTGGGGATCCAGGGCCATGGCCCAGAAAATCGAGATCTACTGGAGACTTGGAATGGCTGCTTTCTTTATATGAATGGTCCACCACCGTCGATTTGGAATGGTTATGCCTTCTCGAGTGTGATGATGACGGTGTCGTGTTGGCTTCCTCAGCTCCTCCAGTTTTATGCTGCTCACTTGGGCAGGCGTAGAGGTCATCATACCTGCCTTGCAACTGCTCGTGAGAGGCACTATGTTTTGTCCTATTCTGCTGGCTACCAGACTGACTTGCCTGGCCACTGCTGGAGTTGTGGCTGCCACGGGACCAGTCAGTCCTGGATTTCCTGCTGCTCTGGTGACCATGCAGCAAACTGGAATTTGACGATATGGAAGGCGGAGGGGGCATTGATGCTGACGGTGGGATCATCCGGTTTCTTTGTTCTGGGAAGAAGCTCTGTTCATTTTTATCCACTGGGGTTTGTGGCACAGAGTTCTTTGGGATCCCTACAAGGTGACTCTGGTTCGAATGGTTCGTCAGAAAGTCCTTCATCTCATCATAACTCCCCAGTGTGTTCTGGACGCGGTTGGCAAGAGCATCGCCTTTGTTAGTCTAAAATTAAAAAAAAGAAAACCAAAGAAGAGTGTCTCAGAATGAAGTCACGGCTAAATATATCACTACCTAAAACAACATGATAGTTGGCAACTGCTTAAGGGTGGCTCAAGGTGGCTTACTTGTGAGTAAATCCCACAAAGGTCAATGGAACATACTTCAAAGTGAATAGGTATACAGCATTTCAACTGGATTTTATTTATAACATGACACACTTAATCTTTTTTAAAACAACAACATTGGTTTTAAACATAATTTGGGGTCACAACTGATGAGATGTTGGAAGATCTGTGCAGGTCCCCCAAGTTGTGTCAGGGTCATATGGAGAGGGGAGACCAGGTTTAAGCCTTCCACCCCTGCAAGTTTTCACTAACTGGAACCAATCCTCTCGCCCCCAGGCATTGTACATGCTCTTTACAGAAAAATGTGGGCAAATGATGAATGTGTTGTCTATTTCTAACAACAGATGACAGCTGATTTCGATCAATGAAGGTGTTAGAAGGGGTTCACGTGTTCTACCCAGCATGCCCCTTATCTAACTCAAGGGACTACACAGCTATAATTTTGCTTCAAAGGACACTGGGGAATCTATGATCTACATCTTATCCACTTTGACCCTATAGAGAGAGATAGACAGGCAGGCAGGCAGGCAGGCAGGTAGACAGACAGACAGAAAGGGGCACGAAGTGATGTGACACCTTTTACAATCAGCAACCTGAAGCCCCAAGTTCAAATGCAGGGTGGCCCTTGGCAACTGGAGGCCCCAAAATCAAATGCAGGGTGGTTCTTGATTTGTTGATCAGAGATATGCATGGAAGGATTGGTGACTCTGAAAAGAGCACACTTTGCAAAACGGGGCCACGGAGAGTTAGATCCTGGAGGGAAGGTCTACCAGTGTCTACTAACCATGGTGACTACAGGGAACCTCCATATACAAGGAGTACCGGTGCTAGGAGGCAGCATCAGGATGCTGGACTAGATGGGCCACTGTTTTAGTTCAGCAGAGCTCATGTTCTTATCTCTCACATACTCACACTCCTCTTGTTAAACTAGCAGTAGACCAATAGTTTTATTGTGCAGGATGGGGTAGAATAAAATCAAAATGTATTTTTGTTTTTCCTGCTATGGACTATTATAATGCGGTTGCCTTGCTAGGCCTTCAGCTTCAGGCCAGCTTGGGTATTAGACAAAGTTAACTTGAGCATTTAGAAAATCATTTTTTTAATCAAAGAAACACATAAATACAGTTGTCGGCAGTGTTTGGAAGGGCTGCTCTGCTCTGTTTCCTGGAACTGCACAGCATGTGTTTTGCAAATCAATGATTCACAGTTATTTTCTGTAAAGAGTAGAGATTATTAAGCAAATTCTGGCTCATTTTTTGGCATTATTATGTTTTCATTTTCAGTGTTTTTCTACTCTATTGCCCAGACTGTATCTGCTTTTCTTTAAACGTGCATTTAAAACACACACACACACACACACACACACATGAGTGTTATATACATAGTACATTTTAAATCTCTGGTTGCACTGCCATGAGGAAACTGCTGAGTTGAGTTGCAAGCCTACATTTGAGCCTTGGATGGAAGCAACTCCCTAAAGGTAGGTGAGTATTTATCAGGGTAACCTCATTCTACCTCTAAGACAGATAGGGAAGCAGCTGGGGAAAACTAACACTCACAAACACACAATAAATGCATTTTTCAAGCTAGGACTGATGCAAGCTTTCTTTCACATTTTAAAAGACCATGAAACTCTGATCCAACCACTTTCCACATCCTGAACAACAGTGATATGAAATAATAATCCTAGTGATCCCATACCAATAAAAGGTTGTAATGCACCTTGAAAAATCAAGCTGTTGTGTTGGATCTTTCTATGCTAATCAAAGTAGGGAAGCCTTGAGTGGCCTCCATCCTCCCCTTGTGCGTTACAAGCTGTGGCTGGTTGGCTTAGACTGAGTCGACTGACATTGAATCCGACAAAGACGGAGGTCCTGTGCCTGAGCTCAGGTGGCCCGTGGGTAGGGATCCCACTTCCGACCATTGATGGTGCCAGCGGAGGTTAGGAGTCTGGGAGTGCTCCTGGATGCCTCTTTAACAATGGAGGCCCAGGTAGCAGCCACTGCCAAGTCAGCCTTTTACCATCTCCGGATGATCAGGCAGTTGGTTCCCTTCCTCGAATACAACAACTTGGCAGCAGTGATCCACGCAGTTGTCAGCTCTAGATTAGACTACTATAATGCTCCAAATCCGGAAGCTGCAGTTGGTGCAAAATGTTGTGCCCAGGGTGTTGATGGGTCTCTCTATGCAGGAGCACATCCAGCCTGTGCTGAAAGCATTGCACTGGCTGCCAATAGCATACCGGATTCACTTCAAGGTGCTGGTTTTGACCTTTAAAGCCTTTTATGGTCAGGGTCCAGCATACCTGAGGGACTGCCTTTCCCCATATGTTCCCCAGAGAGCACTATGTTCAGGGGCCCAAAACTGGCTGGCCCTCCCAGACCCCAAAGATATCAGGCTGGTGATAACCAGGGCCAGGGCCTTCTCAGTGGCGGCTCCGTACTGGTGAAATGAGCTCCCGGAGGAGATAAGGGCCCTGCAGGACCTTTTAGAGTTCCGCAGGGCCTGTAAGACGGAGCACTTCCACCAAGCTTTCGATTAGGAGCCGCCTTAAATACCGAGGAGTGACCCTGGCTTTACCACCTCCAGCCTGTCTCGCCGCATGAATTAGTCGATCAAATTAAGACGATGTGAGAATACCATCAGGACTATCTCTTAAATAGTGGTATGGTTTAATCTAGGAATCTCTGCTCTTGCACTTTAATTGAGTAACTGTTTCCGGAACCTTAGGAAAAAGGATAATTGGTTGTTTAATGTTTGTTTTTAACTGTGTGTGTGTGTGTGTGTGTATATATATATATATATATATATATATATATATACACACACACACACACACACACACACACACACACACACACACACATATATATATGTATTTTTATGTAAGCTGCCCTGAGCCTGGGGAGGGCAGGGTATAAAACAAACTAATAAATAAATCTATGAGCAGTGACATCAATGAAGGGATTCAGGGCACACCAGGATCCTCTGAGATGGCCTGGGCTGCAGATGGCTGGTGAGAATATCATCCCTCATCCCTCAGCCCAACTGAGTGTAGAAAGGGGAGGGCAAGTCACCAGGAAATAACATCAATTGGACTATCCCAAATTTGTAAAAAGGGTGCCTGCCTGCCTGCCTGCCTGCCTGCCTGCCTGCACATCGTTCCAGGTCCTGGATGAAAAAAATATGCAAGCAATATGTGTCTGGGTTTCATCCAATCCACCCTCCCCAAACAACCCTCTGCTTCAGGTATCAAAAATACTGTAATGATCCCTGCAGTATTGTGTGCCTGATTTTACAACATTTTCCAGAACCAGCACAGATAAGTGATAGCCTATGAAATTAGGAGATGAGAAAATTAGCATTTGGCTAGAAGGAAGCCTGCGTGAGACAGGATGCTGAATTTAGAGGGACCACTGGACTGATTCAGCAGGGCTGTTCTTATGTTTTAAACCTTAGTGTACAGAAGGAAAGCAAGGCTTTTCTTGAGTCGGTTGGAATAGGTGAATAACTGGAGTCTTGGCAACCCCGTAGGGTTTTCAAGGCAACAGATGTTCAGAGGTGGTTTGCTATTGCCTGCCTCTGTGTAGTGACCCTGGACTACCTCAGTGGTATTTCATCCAAATACTGACCAGAGCCAACCCTGCTTAGCTTCCGAGATCTGATGACATTAGGCTAGCCTGGGCTATTCAGGTCAGGGCCTGGAGACATCTTTCCTAAATCTACTAGATGTGGTCTTCGTCCTTTGAACTTTGTTCACAGGAGATCCTGTGGAGTTACTAAACAAAAAACACACGTTCTGATGGTGACCTGTGGCCCCTCACCAAATGAAGAACTGTGAATGTGGGACATAAGTCCACACCCAGTATTATGAGCTCTGTATTCTGACGGAAGGAACTCACCAGATGACTGAAATGTGATGCTTCTGTTGGCTGAATGCCATGACTGCAATTGGTGTTAAGAGTCCAGTGTGCTGTCATAGTCACAGTGTCAGATCAAGACTACGAAGGCTTTGCTTCAAATTTTTATGAGGCTCACTGGGTGACTGTGGCCCAGCCACACTCTCTGAGGCTAATATGCCTCATGGTCTTATTGTGAAGATAAAATGGAGTAGAGGAGAACCATACATGTCACCCTGAGATCCTTGGAGGAAGGATGAGATTAAAATGGGGTAGACAGAATCCGGACCTTTGAGGGGGAATATATAGTCCAAACATTTTCAATCACAGCACTTCCAATGGACCATAATAATTATGGAAAGGGAAGGAGGGCAGAGAAAGACAAACTCCGTTTTCTTTTGGTTTCTTTTGAGAGATTGTAACAAAGGAACAGAAGTAAATATTTAGTAAGTTAATCAATTGTGCATTGCTAAGAATCACACTGTACACAAGAAACACTCCCCCCCCTCAAAAAAGGAAGCTTAAGTTGGTCATGTTTAGTGGCAACCCCCCCCCCCACACACACACAACTACATTCCATCTGGGCAAAGAATAAACTCTTTGTGCCTGACCCGTCTCCTTCAACCTGAGCCGCACAATGAACTGTTTTGGGCAGCAGCCAAAGCAAGTCTCAGCTCAGCCCCCCAAATTTGAAACAAGGAGATTCCATTGTGCTTAAGGGACTGGGAGGAATTACGATGCAAATGCCAAACACTCGTTCACTTGTTCTTCTCTCCATCCCTCCCCACAATATTGCTGAGACAGCACATGTGTATAGGGGGCCTGTGAGGTTGCTGCCATCTAGACAATTCTGGACTAAAGGGTCTAGTTACGCTGTGCACAGTTCACTCTGCTGAACTGTTTGCAAAGGAGGGGAAATGGAGCATCTATTTTCCAGCAACACTTTTAAGTTTAGGGTTGCACAGAAAGGGACTTTCCT